GTGGCCATAGGTGGAAATTAGCGGGAGAACATTTCAAACTGGATTTAAGGAAGCACTTATTTACACAGCGTGTAGTCAGAGTATGGAATAGTCTTCCTGATAACGTAGTGCAAGCTGAATCCTTGGGTTCCTTTAAATCAGATCTGGATGAGATTTTAACAATTCTGAGCTATTAGTTAAGTTCTCCCCAAGTGAGCTCGATGGGCCGAATGGCCTCCTCTCGTTTGTATAGTTCTTATGTTCGGGTGACAGCGGTACTACACGCCCCCGATGCAGGTAAAACGAAGTAAGGTTTACTTTTTTGCCAATTTAACCTAATTTTAAAAACTTTAATACATCCGACAATGGACGTTTTGAAAAGAAAACAGATTACGGATTTAGCCAGCGTTTTTTTTCATGATTCTACATTAAGATTTCAGTGAGATATAAACTGAAATAGACGCGAAAAGTACGCTGCATCGCCAACGATGCACTCGACCCCAGACTGCCCTCTATTAAAGGAAGGAGAATTCTCTCCTTGGATTGCCACCTTATCATGGTGGAAGGGTTATGTTGTCGGGGGCAATAGCCCCTGGTAGGGTCTCCCAAGGCAAAAAGGTCCCAGGGGAGGGGCCAAACAAAGAGCAATCTGAAAGAACCCTATGATAAAGCATTCTATTGAAGTCTCCTTTCCCTCACCCAGACTAGGATCCCAGGCTGACAAAACTGGCTTTCGGGACATGAAATGTCACCTCTCTGGTGGGGAAGGAGCCTGAGCTTGTGTGTGAGGTTGAGTGACATCGACTAAATATAGTCGGGCTCACTTTAACGCATAGTGTGGGTTCTGGAACCAAATCTCCTGGAGAGGGGCTGGACGCTCTTTTCTCCTGGAGTTGCGGCAAGTGAGTGACGCCGGGCTGGGGTGGGGCTACTGGTGGCCCCACAGCTCGGTGCATTAACAACGGAGTTTACCCCGGTGAATGAGAGGGCTGTCTCCCTGCGTCTTCGGGTCGGGGATAGGTCTCTGACTGTCATCTGCGCTTATGCACCGAATGACGGTTCAGAGTACCCGGCCTTCTTGGATTCCCTTAGTGGTATGCTGGTTAGCACGCAGCGTGGGGATTCCATCGTTTTGCTGGGGGACTTCAACGCTCACCTGGGCAATGACAGTTTGACATGGAGGGGGGTGATTGGGAGGAACGGCCTCCCTGACCTGAACCCGAGTGGTGTTCTGTTATTGGACTTCTGTGCAATGCATGGTTTGTCCATAACAAACACCATGTTCGAGCATAAGGGTGTCCATAAGTGGACATGGTACGAACATGCCCGGGGCTACAGGTCCATGATCGATTTCATAATCGTATCATCTGATCTGCGGCCTTCTGTCTTGGACACTCGGATAAAGTGGGGCGATGGTGGTGCAAGAGGTAGTGCTACCGTTCGGCAACCAGAGGGTTGCAGGTTCGAGCCCCGGGTCCTCCTGACCCCATCGAAGTGTCCTTGAGCAAGACACTGAACCCCAAATTGCTCCCGGTGAGCAGGTTGGCGCCTTGCATGGCAGCCTCCGCCACCGGTGTGTGAATGTGAGTGTGGATGGGTGAATGTGAGGCATAACTGTAAAGCGCTTTGGTACTCATAAGAGTAGTAAAAAGCGCTATATAAATGCAGTCCAGTTACCATTTAAAGTGAGGGGCAGAGCTGTCAACTGATCACCACCTGGTGGTAAGTTGGCTCAGGTGGCAGGGGAAGAAGCCGGTCAGACCATTGTGGAAGCGGCCGTACGGAGCTATGGCTGCAGGGTGGTCAGTGCCAGTCATGGCAGTAACCCTCGTACCCGATGGTGGACACCAGAGGTGAGGGGGGCTGTCAAGCTGAAGGTGGTCTACCGGGTATTATTAGCTCGGGGGTCTCCGGAGGCAGCTGACGGGTACCAAAAGGCCAGGCAGAACGTGGCTTGGGCGGTCGCAGAAGCAAAAACCCGGGCGTGGGAGGAGTTCGGTGAGGCCATGGAAAATGACTTTCGGTGCATGTCCTACAGGGAGAAGGCCCCGGGGCAGACCCAGGACACGCTGGAGGGATTATATTGTTGGCTGGCCTGGTAACGCCTCAGCATCCCCCTGAAGAGCTGGTAGAGGTAGCTGAGGAGAGAGAGGTCTGGGTATCTCTACTCAAGCTGCTACCCCCGCGACCTGAACCCCGGACAAGCGGTAGTTAATGTATGGATGGATGGATTGATTAAACTCCTCTGTGCTCAGCATATAATAGGCCTCTCTCTAACCTTCCCCTGCTTGGCAAACTAATTCAGAAAGCTGTGTCTATACAGTTAATGAATAACATTAATAACATTAACGAGACACACCAAGCAGGTTTTTGAGCTAGCAGTGAGCACTGAGATGGCTTTGCTTAGAATGTTGAATGACCCGAGGCTTTACAATGATTCTGGCCACCCCACTATTTTCATTCTCCTTGACCTTAGTTACTGCCTTTAACACTGGGTGCTTTCACGACAAAGGTCAAGGACTATCTCGACTGGAAACTTTTGCAGCTTCTGTAGCTTCCACACAGTGTTGCTGCTGCATTTTGTCTGAAAAGGAAATCAGGAATAGATCTTCATCCATATAATGTTTTTGTATAAATTGTTTTATACAAGAACATGAAATGTCATTATTATAGATGGAACACTAGCTATGAATGTGAATCACTGACATTTCCTCACATCTATATGAAGTTATTATTGTGAAAAAAGCAGCTTCTGCAATGAGGAATCCTGCCCTCTTCTGGGGCTGCATGCGACGTCATCCACTCCTTAGTATCAAGATTTCAAACTTGACACCCACATGATCCATTTCTAATCACTGGCTACTTCATGCTTCTCTCAGCTCCACCCAACCCACCTTAAGTTACTTTGTAACATGCCCTACAAAAGAGGAGTTAATCGGACCTCTGCTCTGGAGTTAATCGGACCACAACCTGGTACATTTCCTGCCACTATACAAGCCTCTGATCCTGTGCCAGCAAGTGACCATCAGCACAGTGTGGAAATGGTCTGCAGAGGGAAATGACGCATAAGGGAAGCTTTGAGTCCACAGACGTGGTTTGGTGGTGGGGGGGGAGGGGCGGGGTTATGACACTCTCACCCACTGCATCACACATGACATCAATTTGTGCGTTGATTGTGCAGTGTCCACAAAGAGGATTCACCACTTCCTGCTCAACATTACTCATGACTGAACAGTACTATTGATACGGCTGTTTAGCATATTTGTATTTTCCCTTGTACATAAGTTCTAATTTTGTTTTTTAAATTTCTAATTTAAGTAAACACTGACTATTTTTGTCCATCTTCTATTGCTGCTGTATTTAATAACTTTCTTTTATATACTGCTTTTTCATGCCGGGTGGCACATAGCCATAATTAAAAAAAAAAAAGAAAACAGAATTTCCCTCCGGCGATTAATAAAGTAGGCCAATCTGTAAACAATACAGGGTTACTAACTCTCACGCATCTGGCCTAACATTCACACGAACAAACGAAACCTTATGACGCGCATATATATATATATATATATATATATATATATATATTTATGTGTGTGTGTGTGTGTATAAAAGCGCTGGAGTAGTTTGCAAACCCTACGGACTATTTAGTAGTTAAGAAAACCGTTACATACATGTGAAAGCGTGCAGTCTTGTCTCGAATTGAAAATCTCACGTCAGCCAGATGACCAAAGTTAGTGACCCCGAACAATATCATTCTATTCTAAAAACGCTGAATAATTAACTTACCAAACGTAATTTTACATTTTAAAGCATAAGTTGTCTCTAAAATATTGCCGTGTTTGCGTGGGACACTTTAATAACAGAGACAACAGCTGTTTTAAAACGAAGTTCTGACTAACAAGGGCGCGGCCTTGCTTTCAACTTTGGCGGGGACCAAAGCAGCCCGAGCCCCCACCTCACTGTGGGTCCCCTTACACTTTAATGACATCCCTCTGCCACCATTAAACTAGCAGCAGCATAGCCAGGGAAGCTAACCATTTAAAGAACGTTCACACTCGCGGAGACCCTAACGAAAACACACGCAATCCACTTTATAGTTGTATAACATTATTTACAACGTAAATACACTAACTAAATTTACATATTGCCCATACTAGCGGTGTAATGCATGCCGGTAGTCTAAATAATCGGCGTAAAAAATCGCTCTGCTTTTCATTGGCGCTTGTTTTTGTTTCTGCGTAATAATACTCAGCAGTCTGCACGAGACAATGGCAGGCACAAGGAAGGTGGCTACTCTCGCAACTTCCATAACCGTTAGCTTATTAAAACGGTACAATCATTACAGGAGACGTGCCCCTGAAACTCAGATTACTAGTTGGTATCATTCCATTGACCACACAACATCTACTCGTTAGTAGCGGACGGTCCCCCAGGCGCAACTACAGGAAGAGACGGCTAACTTTCAGTATAACTTTGCACAGTAACGAATTCTTTATTCACTTCCCCATCCTGTGCCCTTCGTGCTGAAAAAAAGATCCGCGTAGCACAACTACTGATTTGTGAACCGAAACGCTTCTGCTACGTGATAATAAGTAAAAAGGATAAAAGTATTACCTGCACGCTGATTGTACTCCCGCTCAGGTGAATGCCGACAGACCACTTTTACTCAGTGTTTGCACACGGCCACTCCCTGTTGTCGAATTCGCCGTAGGAAAACCACACCCATTATGAATCCTTTTTAACGTGATAGACTTGCGACACGCCATACAAAGAAAGCATTGCTGAAGTTAAACCTTTACACATTTATATAAAAGATATCAATAGTAATTGCTAAATATGTTAATTATGCTTGGCATACTTGTTGAATAAAACAAAAATAACTTTTAATAAATATATGAAACGCAACTTTGACTTTTTCTAAAAATAAGTGTTGTAAGTGAATCATGTCAACCTTCTTTCAAGACACCATTTTTGTTTAAATTAAGCCGGTGTGGCTATTAGAGGGGCAGGGGGGGCTCTGCAAAATCTAGCAAGCACCCCAATAAATTGTGGCCAAGAAATTGTAAAAGTGCTCCTTTTGATAACAAATAATCACGCAAAATTCCCACAACTTTACAGAGAGCCCCCCCTCCACTGTGATACCCCTCCCCCAGCCCTGGGTGTGTGGGTGTGAGTGCAGTTGGAATGCAGCATGGGTGCCGGCCTGTATGCACTGCACATACATTTGGCCTCCTTATTTCTGCAGCACACACAAAAATACACAAAAAAAACCACAAAAATTCTGGCTAAAATATTGTGATGCAGTGGGACCAGCTAGTAAAGACTTATTTATTCGGAGTACCGGCATGCTTAGTACTTCCATCCTAATTGAGCTGTCTTTTGGTCCTAAAGCAATATTGCCCATTTCTTGATGATAACCCAAAGGCTTTGCCACATTGGTGTTAGAAACCAAGTCATCTAAGAATATGATGTTTTTGGTCGAAAGGCTTCAATGGATGAAGATGATGAGATGCTGTGGAAGAAAGGAAGTGGCTGCAAGCCAGACAGGGACCTTGGGATTCAAGTATTGTGCCTTTCCGGGACAACCAAATGGAGGCCTTGCTGGCAGTGCTGCCAGCGCCAGGCAGAAGAAGCAGCCAGGCAGAACAGAGTGAGGAGGGGGCCGAGGACCAGTTTGGCCTTTCTCACTACTGCAGGAAGAAGCTCCTGGAGGCCTACTTCATTCAACTGCATGAAACTGGCTGAAGTGATACAACAAGAGGGAGACAACAGACAACCAGTGAGAGGAGACCAGGAGAGCAGAGCTGACAAGTTGGTAGAGATTCACTGTGGACCTCTGCATACTTGCACATTGGGGCTATCTGTCACTTCGGGATAATCTGGATCTCCATGCCTTTTGTGCTGCCCAAAGTGGCAAAAGAGATTGTTTTTGTTAGTTTGTTCCTTTTCGCTTACTGTAGTTTCCTAGGTAGTGATGGTTCTAGGCAGATTCAGAGAAAAGCTGCTGTTTTCCTTCTCAGACAGTTTCATGATACTGAAATGGATTTTGCTGAAGGATATTTCTCCTGTCTGCAAAAATTCCCTTGAGAAGTAAGCATACCTTATACATAAGCATACCCTATGATGCTTAGTCATCTAGGCTGGGAATGTGTTATTGACTTACCATATTTCTTTCATATATAAAAATGAATGCTTAAAGTTTGTTAGAAATAGTGCAATACAATCATATTTCCTTCGACCCAAGGGTAGTGAAGCTCCCTGAAGAGTTCTTATGCCATTTCTGTGTGCTGGAGGAGCTGCATAGTCACCAGGGGCAGAACATCAAAGTGCAGGTGTTTGGAGAAAGTCTGCAAGTGGCTGGACATTATGAAGAATCGAAAGAAGCATCGCCAACGAGTACAGCATGCCCCCCTGCCTGCCCAGACATCAGCATCCATAATTTCACTGGACCTTCCACATTTATACCTGGACTATTCACAATGCTGCTCTATATATCGGGACTTAATTATGTTGGACATTCCCTGCCTGCTCCCCCTTTGAATCTTGTTCCTCCCAGGGTTTCTTCCTGTGAGGGAGTTTTTCTTTGCTACTATCATCTCTAGCTTACTCTCGAGGGACATTGGGCAAGAAAATGTAATTACAAATTTTGTCAAGTGGTATTACCTACCTCCAGTTTACCAAACGGGAGCTCTTGGCTCACCTTGACTCCATTTATTTACTGTTACTTGAATCTGTGCAGTTTTAGAACATTATTAAGTCTCTATTCTTGACTGCAGTCACCGCTACAGTAAAGACAGTTGGGAATCCTGTGACTCGATGTGAGAAGCAAACATCCTTCCTTAATGCTCTGAGTCAATGCCAAGCCATCTGATGGAGAGGTGGACACAGAAGGTGTCTGTTTGCATCTACACTACATTTGGAGTTTTCTTACCAGGCTATAAAAGCAGAAAGAAGTAATTCCTAAATCTGTGAATATGTCATTTACTAGACAAATCACATTGAAACTTCATCCAAAAACAAATTCAATGCAAGGGGTAGCTGTGATGGCTGAGTGGTTAAGGCATTGGCCTTGAAATCCAATGGGAATTCACCATGCTGGTTCAAACCATTTTGGGGGCAGTGCGTGGTCCTGCATGTTAGGACTCTGTGGCTCAAAATTGAAGGTCATTGCTTCAAATTCCATGGTTAAGGTCATGCTTCAAATTCCTTAATCCCCATTACTTCAAGTTCAAACAAGTAAATAAGTCCCCTCAGAGTATGCGACAAAGTGGGTTTACTGCTAGCTCAGTTTGGAATAAGGCATATTTACATGGAAATTTACCCTGCATGCCTTACCTCTTCCAAGCAGGTTTAAGTGCTGACTTTTGGCTTAAAACTCAGAATGTGTGGATCATACTAAATATTGAGTCTTTTAATATGAAGGTGTTAATTTTTCTATTATTTGACCCTAGTATGAAATAAGCAGTCATTCCCTTTTTGGTGGTCTCATAGATATGTTGATGAGTTCTGCTCTCATTGACTGTATTACAGTGAGGCACTGTGATGCGTCACACTGAACCAACATCTCTAGTCATGCACCACGTAACTGCATTTGTGACTATGGTCCACAAGATTTAACAGAGCTGAAAAATTCCTATCGCCTATTGATTTTGTAGAGTAACGCAGTAGTCACATCTTTGTGGAGATGCTGATCTAAAAAAAATCTACTGCAGGAAGTTGTGCAAAAGCATAGCACATACAAACTTAATCAGAAGTCAAAGCGTCTGTTGCCCCTGGCTGCGATGGCCGAGCGGTTAAGGCGTTGGATTTGAAATCCAATGGGGTTTCTCTTCGCAGGTTCAAACTCTACTCACAATGTGCATGTATGTTTTGGGGTCAGTGTATGGTCCTGCATGTTATGGCTCTGTGCCTTTAAATTCAAGGTCATTGCTTGAAATCTCATGGTTGGCAGAATGATTTCTCCATTGAGGCCATCGACAAATCCCTAATCCCCATTACTTCAGGGACTGATCAGCCCTGTTTCTGCCATGAAAGTAGCTAAAGAAAGCTAGACTTTCCGCAGAACGGAAACGATGTAGTGCCTGTTCTGTCAGTAAGTTAAACTTTAGTTTGTGTCCCAATGTAAATCTGTGCCCTTCACCCTGTTATGCATGTTCATGAGTAAAAATATTAATGTTATTAAACTTAAAATGGCCTTTTTTCCCCCCTTTTTAATTTTTGGATGGGTATCTATCGTTGAATTTCTCTGTTTTACTTTAGTATAGAAATAAGTAGTTGATTTGATGTCCTGGTTATATTCATAACAAGGACATGACTGACATGGAGTTTTGTCATATTGCAGCACCTTACACTGGGATATGCCGAATCTGGGTGCAGTTACAGCAGAGGCGGAGTCAGACATTTTATACACCCGGGGCTTAGCCCCA